TTAAAAAGAAAAAAATGCCAGAAGTGTTACACTCAACTCTGAATAATATGGCCGTTTTTAAATTCCAAATTAGGTTCCTTCATCACCCAAACTACTACACTTACTGCCAGTTAAATATAGGTTTGGGAATGCAAACTTATTTTAATATTAACATAAATTAAGGATAGAAGTCTCCAGCAAAGCAACAGACTAAAATAAAGATCATTTCAACTCAATAAACATTTATTGATCGCTTGCTGTTTTCCAATTAATGCTTACTGATCTAATCAACAGTGATACCAAAATAAATACTTAAATATAACAGAAAAACTGAGTAAGAATAGAACCTAAGATAGACAATGAAGAAAAGTACAGCTTACCACTTATGGAGTGCTTTTTACCTGCCAAGCACTGGGCATAGGTACTTTATATACATAATTTAGCTGACTCCCCTGCCAGGTAGGCATAATTCACCCCCTTTATTAACAAAGAAATAAAGTTTAGGAAAGTTAGCCAGCCTGCCCAGGACAACACAGCTGAAGTAATAGAATCAAGTACTCAAATCCAGATCTGTTTGGCTCCAAAGCCAAACCTCTTCCTCATCACCATGCTTACTCAGCTAGCCACCTATAATCTAACTGCAATAACAGACACTGAGATGATGAACTATGCATAATTTGTGACGAAGGCTAACATTTGAGAGCATTACAGTGGGAATACATGAGGAAGAAATTCATTAATGGTGGGAGAGGATTTGGGAAGAATTCCTACAACAGCTGCACAAGGCCTTAAAGGATAAATACAATCTCTTCTTGGTACAAGTATAGAGTTCCAGGCAGGAAAACAGAAAAAGTAAAGACCAAAGGCATTTAGGGAGAACAAGGAATTAAGTGCAATTGATGTGGCATGAATGTTCAGAGAAGTGGGAGAAGAATTAGGACTGAGCCAAGATGCTTCCTGGAAATCAGGGGAAGAGAGAAGCAGAAGAAAAATGATATAGTCAACAAGTGTCAAATGCTGAGGAAAAGTTACTGGCGACCTTAAAAACATGGCAACAGAGTGAAGAGGTTTGAAGGCCAAGCACAATAGGTTAAAAAAAGGATGCAAAATAAGGAGCTGAAACAGCAAGAATAATCTTTCAAATTATTAGAATTATCTTTTACTACCACTACTATTATTATTATTGTAGATAGCACATTTCCTTTATGAGGTAGAAGTGTTCATCTTATGAAAATTTACTATTTGAAAAACAAACATGATTCTGAGTTTATGAGACCAGTTATTTAGACATACTATACAAATAAGAGGCTTGGATTCTGTGAAAGACAATAGTGGGGCAAAGAAGATCCAAGTCATGGATCTCAAACTGAATGGCCAGAGCTTTAACAAGGCCCGTACCTGGTGCCTGGTTGCATGCCTGTTGTTGTCATCTTGCCTGTGGGACAGCATCCTTTCTTCTATCTGCTTATCCCGGCTCTGTGCTCTCACCTGTAACCATCAACATTGTCAATAAACCCACCTGCTTCTAAGACTATGTTTACTGAAAGCACAAGAACACAATGATCATCCCTTGAATTTATGTTGTACTTTTACTTTCAAAGGGTCTTCATACTTATTATCACAAACTCTATAAGAGAGATAAGGCAAGCTTCACTTTCTGCCTTCTCAGCCATTAACTGACAATCAAAGTGAGATCACGGCTAAACGGTGGTAAAGCTAAGATTTTAATTCAGTCTGATGACTCTGAGCCTGGACTGTTTCCACTGTACAATGAATAAGAAACAGTGTGAGGAAGTGCAAGAACAGAGTAAAGAAGCACAAAGAAAACATCAGAAAACCTGGGTTCAAGTCTACAGGGAAACTTAACTCTATAGTTACACGATCACATCAGCTCTCAATAGTTTCTGTTTCGTCATCTGGGAATTGAGAACTGATAGCCAACTACCTATTCAACTTCACCATTAAAACTCAGAATGGTCAAAACACAACTGGCATTCTCTCACAAATCTGCTCCACCTCAAATCTTCCCGGTATCAATAAATGGCAACACTGCCTAAATAGCTGATCAGGTCAAAAACCTGAATGTCATCCTTCTTCCTTCCCTTTTCTCACACTTTACATCAAACCCATCAGCAAGTCTAACGGGTTGCTCCCCTCTAAAATATATCCTGAATCCGAACCATTCTTAGCATCTCCACTGATACAAAGCTAGTCCAGGCCACCATCTACTGCCTGAGCTTCTTTCAGTCTTCCAATCACCCTACCCTCTGTCAACTCTTGCCCCCACACTCCATTTGCCACATGTTAGCAAGCCATCATTTCACAAAAAAGTGTTTATGAAATCACATCATGTCTATGCTAAAGCCCTCCAAATGCCTCCAATGACCATCAGAAGAAAACACTCTTTGTGCCAAGGCCTACAAGGCCCTTCATGATCTGGATCCTGCTTTCTCATTTCCCATCGTGCTGCGGCCACACAGGCTACTCTTAATCTTTCAGACCCAAGAGTTTATTCTCATCCATGTCACAGAGCCAATGCAAAATCCTCAGAAAGGTCTTCCTTGATCACCCTAGGAAAAGCAGTCCTACACCTTCCACCCCCAAAACAGTCACTCTGTCTTTAGTCTTTTCGTTCCTCACAGTATTTATTTCTGTATGAAATTCTTCTTTCCTTATTAATTTACACGTTTATGTTACCTCTTTCCATAAGAATGTCAGCTCCTTGAATGTATTTTATCTTATTCACTGAATCCTCAAATATCTGTAAGAGTGTTTGGCACATGTGGCCAGAGAAACTTATGATTGAATAAAAATGGTAATATCACTGATCACAGAGGTGTCCTGGGAAACTCAAGAGCAATCACGTGTATGTAGGTTCTTTAAAAACACCAGCGCTTTTAATAAATGTGAGGAATTAATCTATTTGGGATTGTAAATGTAATAAAAAATATATCATCTTTCAGAAACTCTCCTGCTCTTCCAAGCACATGTTTCAGTAGTAAAGATGGATTACACTGAGCCTAATTCCCCTTACAGAGAAGACAGAACAAAAGAAGGCAAATTCAGGATGGGAATGTTTCTTTTTTTAGAATTTTCTTCCCCAAACTAAAATTTTTCTTTTCCTAAAATAAATTGGTTAAGGTAACAACATGTTCATATTGCTACAAGCCAATAATTTTAAAACTTTATCTTAGGAATATTTTTTAAGAGACAGGGTCTTGCTGTGTTGTCCAGCCTGACCTCGAACTCCTGGGCTCAAGTGATCCTCCCACCTCAGTCTCCTGAGTACCTGGAATACAGGTGTGCACCACCATGCCCAGCAGGAAGATTTTAATGTGAAATCATCCATAGTATCAAATTGTCTTATATTTAAAGACAAGTGATAGAGGACAACTCTCGAAAAGCAGAGATCACAGTTATTTTCAGAGAAAGAAGTACCTAAGGCCTTGTCAGTTTCTGATGCAGATGTGGGCAGAGCTGTTTTTGTTTTGATCTGGCCTCAGACTGATGGGAAGACTTAACACTTACACAGAGCACAAGAAACTGCCTTGCTTATAAAGATTTGGAATGAAAAAAAATAAAAGAGTAGAGTCATCGACCTTAAAATCCATATAAGCATTTAAAGTATACTACTCTGCCGAAAGACTAAACACAAACTTTCAGCCCTGTGGTCTACTTGTAAATAAGAGAACAAATTCCTGAATCAAGGAAAATTTGTGAGGGAATCTAATTTTTCTCAGAATAAAACTGGCTCAGACAGTGACCCTGGCCTCATTAACAAATTAACAACAAAAAAACAACAATAATACCTTGGTCTAACCAGCTTGGATAACCTGTCCAATTATTACTACCCAAGCAATCCATTTAATTAATATTTTCAACTCTTGCTTTCCCATAATTAGTTCTTTGGTTCCATCTTTCATAGCACAACCCCTGCAGAAACATACAAAATAAGATCTGAGCCTCCACTTGTAAATATGTTATCCCCAAATCCCAAAGGTTATTTAGGAGCTATATTTTTCAAGAATTTAAGAGAACAATTAGCCAAGAGTAAGTGTGACTGAGAATAACAAAAAGGAAAAGCATCATGCAGAAATGACAGAGAAAGAGGAAAAGAATTATGAAAAAATTTTAAAAAGCAAAATGACTTTATAGATTTATAAGAGAACCTAATGCATAAATATTAAGATAACATATTTATGCAAACTATTCCTTAGTAGAA